CCCCCCTCCACATCAAACCATGACAGGTTTTAATGCCAACTGCAGTCCGACCCAGCTTTGGTCGGACTTTGCAGTTGCATTCATGTCTACTACTATGCTCTTTTCCAATAAAAACAGAATGAGAAAATGAAGACTGAGACAGCTTGTCCTGGGTCTTCATTGTCAGGTTTACCAGAGTCCTAGTTTTAAGACAAGCCCCTTCCTGGGGATGCTGGTGATTTTGCCCTGGAGAGGCAGTTGGTGCCAGGCATGTGCTTGGATTCCAGAAGCATCTGGCTTGGTCACTATGTGGTAGGAAGGGAGAGCTCAGAGCTGTTGACCTTCTCCAGAGCCCTGCAATGCCCAGGGCTCCTGGAGAGCTGTAGGAGGCTCTGACAGTGATATAGCCTTCCTGCAAATGTTGCTGGAGATAGCAGAGGGGTGGGTTTTACCTATCTACCCTATGCCTCTCCTCTATGAGTATTCAAGTGAATCCCTGGAGGTTCTCCCAGACTTTGGCTCCCAGGAGACACCTTTGTATGAGCCACGTCTCAGCCCATGGGCTCCTGACAGTCTGCAAGGCAAGAGGCACATGACCAAGCCACTCGCTGGCCTGCCAAGGCCTGCCATCAACCAGAAGACCTCGGGAAGGTCTTTTCCAACTTCGGTGGAGAACAGCAGACCCACTGGTCCAATCTGCAAAACCAAAACCTGCAGAAAGGCCAGGGAGGAAGCATGCAAACATTTGGACACAGAAGACTCAGCTTAGCAGGGCTTACAGCATCTTTGACATTTATTGCTGCCTGTAACCAACATGCGCACAGCCATTCAGGAGAGCAGCCCTGCTGGAAATCCTCTGTCAGAGGCTGAACAACTGACAAGGAGACATGGGGCAGATCTGGTCTTCAGGGCCAGCTGTAAGGATTCACGACCTGGGAGTTGCCTGGCCTCCTGTGTGGGTCAGCCTGGCCTGAGCTCCCAGGTGCTGGGGAGCTCTGAGAGGTCTCTGGCTGCCCATTGAAGCCTGTAAAAGGATAGCACCTCACCGTGTCTTCCAGGGAGGAGCAGCATTGGGGTCTCCTGTGGTAGGAGCAGTTATCATGACTTTGTGGAAGCAAATGGGCTGGAAACTGGCAGATTGAAGCAGGTAAAGGGATAAGGTGCAAGCCTGCTGAGAAAAGCCCTGAGGGAGCCAAAAAACTTGAGGTCCTACTGAGATTTGAACTCAGATCGCTGGATTCAGAGTCCAGAGTGCTCACCATTACACCATAGGACCTCCTGACTAAATGCTCTCTTTCCCCGGTGGCCATGCTTGCTGAGCCATATGTTCCTGGGAGGAGCCCAATAGTCTCTCCATCTCCCTGGCCATCACCAAATGCAGCCTTCCTCCACGGCCACTGGGCACTCTACTCACAAGGCCTTTCAAGGGAATGGCAGTGCTCTTTGTGTAAGCCTGGCACGGCCTGTCTTACAAGAGTTGGGCTGATAACCTGTGAGAATCTTGTTTTTGCATAATTAGACCTAGTTATGAAGTTTCCAGCAGAACCTCTTCAAAGTTGCTCCTTACAGAGTACATTCATGGCCCAGCAATCAGTGGTTCAATGCTTGTACTTGCAGTCTCTGTTGCTGTCTCCCTTCACCCTCATGCTGAACAGCCTCAGTCTACCTCTCCTGTTTCTCACCTTGTAGTTCATACTAAGCAGCCGTTAGCCAGATATCCTTACTGTCGGTTGCAGTCCTAGTTGAGCTCTTGACCTTGCCAAACAAAGGGATGAAGAGAGAGGGCAGGGAATGAGGTTCAACAGAGGAAAGAGCTGGCAGGAGGTGTCTAAAGCTGATGTTCACACGATCAGTGCATGTGAAAGTGTATATAAGAAATATGCTGTGCTACATCTATATATCTTTCCACTGAAGTCTGTCACTGCATGAAATCAGGATACTGGGTCTATGTTAAGGTATACTGGAGAAAACTGCACTTCAGCTGTGCTGGAAGGGACTTTAGCAGGTACTGGTAATTACCAATATGGTGGTAAAGTGCAAAAGCCTGCTCAACTAGATCCATGTTTCTGAGTGTAAAACGGTCACACCAGCTTCAGACACAAAATAGTGTATCTCCTGTCACAGCAGAGCCGAATGATCTAGATGAACTTCCTTTGCTTCAATGTCAACAGTACAACAACCTACAACCCTGCAAATAGACTTCAATTATGTTAAAGTGATTGATATCACCTGAATCTGTCAATTGTTTTTGGACATTGTAACTTTGGTTTAAGATTTTGCATTTGTATTTAAATTATTACTGGTCATATACTAACTGTAAGAATTATTATGATATGTCCTTAGGTAATGAAGGATTATGAGAAATACGTGGCTCTAAGACCTGTGAGATACTGCCTGTTAATTGGACTGGCACTGGTAAGGATAAGGATCCAAGTGAAGGCACTCATAAGGATGAGGTTTTTTTCCTGTTATCTCATTGCTTCCAGACCTCTTCCAGAATGACAAGACACAACTTCCCCCCAAAAAAATCAAATTAAGTACAAAATGCTCTGTGCAAAATCCACTTACAATTTGAAAAACTGTCTTCCACCAGTTTGCACAAACTTTCTTCCCCTGGCTAGGAGTATCAGAATTAGAAAGAACTAGCGTAAATAAGGAGAAATTTTAATAATTTACAAAGATTTCTGTGAGTAATTAGTACTCACAAAAGGCAGGGATGATGGGTAAATTCAAATTGCAACTGCTCAGCAGTTGTAAATTGTGACCAATGAATGATCCAGCATGGAGGGCAGGGATGCCTAACTGCAGAACTGTCTGGGTGCAGGAATGAAAAAAAAAGGACTCCCTGTAAGGAAGTGAAGTTTCCCTTCCTGATGAGATAGAAGTTATGGCAATGTTGTCTTGTAGGAATCCTGGAATGCAAGCTCTCAGGGGGCCACCTGATGAGGATCAGTCAGGGGATGCATCCAATGCTAGGCTGAGGTGCCTAATACCAATACTCACATGATCCATGCTGGTGCAACTGTATATAAGGAAATGGCTTGTGCTGCATCTTTTCAGACTCCAGAACTCTGAGAAAATCTTTGCAGTCTCTAAGAAACTCTTATGGAGGTAGGACTCTGGCCAAAGCATTGCTCATTTAATCTTTATATTTAAGTGCAAAAGTATGTTTAATTCACCTCAAGGGTGCAATAAAAATTCCCCAACTACAGACACTGCCAGATGCACCACCTCTACACTGAATTCTTAAAGCTATTTTCCAAGTATTTGTGCTCCAGAGCTAAAAGGCAACCAGAGCTATCTTCATCTAGTGATGAAAATGATCACTTTTGCGGGTCATTTGGTTTTCTGGTTCCTGCTTAGGCATTGGACATTTCTCACCAGTGCTGGCAAAAAGATCTAGACATACTTATATCACCAAAACAAACTCTCTCCTGTCTCCTGCCAAGTCACTCATGACCTCTCATTTATTCTCCCTTTGCCCCTCCACACTTTTCCTCAGTCGGGCTCTACCTTGTCCTTTCCATAGATCTCTCCCACTCTTGCAAAACATTCCCCCTAAACACCAGCAACCTGAATGACAGTCATGGTCTTTGTTCAAGGGCTGACACCATCCTATGTTCCCAAGAGGCTGAAGGTACCGCCAGGAGGTCACCATCTTCTCTGTAGGAGCATCCTCACTGTTATGCTCACAGCAGATTTGAGTCCCCCTCAGATAAATTTGAGAAGCAAAGCAGGGTCTAATATCTCACCTCACAACTATCACCACCCATTGATGTCTCCAGACGGCTGCCTTCCTTTCTTCTCTGGAAGCAGCAGAGGTGCCAGCTGGGAGTGAAACCACCTGCACATGACAGGATATCCCAGATGCCTGTAAGAGGACAAAGTGCTGGGAGCTGCAGTTGCAGCCCTTGGGGTTGTGTCTTCCAAGGCCTCTGGAAGAGCTTGGCACCAGGTGCCCACCATGCTCTGTACAGATCTAAATCACAGAACTTGAAGTAAAGCAGGCCCTGAAACTTCCAGAGAGCCAGGTGTCATTGCATGGGGCATGTGATGAGCAGGGCAGAGGACTCTGGAGCAGATGGTTGTGGCTGAGTGGTGAAGGTGATGGACTAGAAAACCACTGGGCTTGTGCAGATTCAAATCCTGCCAACTATGGGGTGCAGTTCTTTTTTGGGGTCCCTGCAATTTACTGCACTGCAGCCATGGGACTCAGCCTCACAAAACCCAGGGACATAGCAAAACGCCATTTTGGTCCACACTTCCCCCAAGAAATTCCTGCATGGATGGCAAATCCTGCTTCTCACAAGGTAAGGGCAACCTGGTGTTTTGGGCAACCTGGTGTAGTGGAGGGTGTCCCTGCCCATGGCAGGGGGGTTGGAACTAGATGATCTTTGAGGTCCCTTCCAACCCAAACCGTTGTATGATTCTATGATTCTATAAGGAAGTGGGACAAGAGAAAAGGCCAGCACTGAATGTGGAGGTCTTTCTGTGCACACACGGCCCTCATTGCTAATGACTTGCTCAGATGGTGCAGCATCTTAAGGAAAAAGGAAGCCCAGAGGGGCCTGTGTGGAGAGAGGTCAGAGAAAAAGAAGGTGATAAAAGCCCATTGCTAGTGTATGGTATGTCCCACACAGCCATGCCACTGACGGTGGAGGATGTGAAGGACAAGGTGCTAAGTGTAATACAACTTGCTTAGAAGAACAAATTCTGTGTAAGACTATGAACTTTTAACCTCAGAGTTGACATGAAGACCCAACCTAAACTGCCTCTCACCTGCTGAGAACATGCAATACTGATCATAGAAAGAATAGGAGGTTTGCCCTAGGAAGCTAGGCATACAAGCACAGCCTTGGTGCATAATCAGATTTCCCTGATTGTTTATGCACGCTCACATCTGTACACCAGATGTGTGCAGACACCTGTCTGTCCTGCCTTTGCTTTGTCTCCTCTGCCTGGCTCTGTATGCTCTGTCATTTGGATAAGTGTGCTGGTTTTGCCTGGGATAGAATTAATTTTCTTCATGGTAGCTGTTACGGGGCTATGTTTTGGATTTGTGCTGAAAACAGTGCTGATAACACAGGGATGTTTTCATTTTTGCTGAGCAGTGCTTACACAGCATCAAGGCCTTTTCTGCTTCTCACACCACCCCACTAGCAAGTAGGGTGAGGGTGCACAGGAAGGTGGGAGAGGACACAGCCAGGACAGCTGACGCCAACTGAAAAAAAGGATATTCCATACAATATGATCTCATGCTCAATATATAAAGCTGTCGGAAGAAGAAGGAAGGCGAGACATTTGGAATTACGGAGTTTGTCTTCCCAAGTCACTGTTATGCATGATGGAGCCCTGCTTTCCTGGAGATGGCTGAACACCTGCCTGTTGATGGGAAGTAGTGAATTATTCTTTATTTTGCTTGCTTGTGTGCAGCTTTCGCTTCAGTTATTAAACTGTCTTTACCTCAACCCCTGAGTTTTCTTCCTTTTACTCTTCTGATTCTCTCCCCCATCCCACAGGTAGGGCAGTGAACAATTGACTGGGTGGTGCTTAGTTGCCAGCTGGAGTTAAACCCGGACAACGGGACAGAGAAGCAGTAGATGCACGCACAAGTATGAAGGCATCAGCACTACTACCTCATCCCTTGCCCTCACCAACAGGCTTTACCTGCTCAGTCTGCCTCAAGCGTATCTTGTCACCTGTCAGCACGTAAGGCTGGCCATCACCCAGTCCATGTAAGGCTGGCCATCACCCAGTCCAACTGGGCCAGCCCTGCCCTGAGGAGACTGGAAGCCAACATCACTCCCAGCAGTGTTATACAGGTCAGGCACAGAGGAGTTTCTCTGACTGTCTGCAAGGCTGAGTGGTGGGAAAGGCAGCCAGCCCTCTGCTGTCACAGAGCAGCAAGGGCAGGGCTGTGTCAGGAGGGAGGACAAGCTAGGAGCTGCGGGGGAGCACAGCACAACATAGGCAGGGGAAGGCCCTTGCAGATATGTTTTCCCAAATCTCGGGTTTGTGTGCTCAGTGTGCAATAAGCCAATCCACTCGCTGAGCCGAGATACTGCTTTATCACAAAGTTGTGCACGTTTAGGTGCCTGTCCCCAGACAGTACACCCCCTTCCAAAACTCAGTGAACAATTTATAGTGTGTATGAGCATATTTACATAGTCATTGTTGTTCCCTTAAACAATTGGTTACTTTTCTCTCGCCTAGCATGTACATTAGTTCACAAGCTCAGTCCTTTGCCTCTGCCCCTTCCTTTTGGGTCTCGAGTAT